TCAACCTGAGAAGAGGAATTGCATGAAATATATTACTTACTAGTGGGGCTTTCTTTTAGCCTTTCTTTCCATGTAATTACCACCAATTCCTTTTTGATAGACACTAGTAAGGAGCCCTAGTGGCAATGTGTTACCCTCTGCCACTAACTGCAAGGTCAGCAGCTTGAAACCACCAGGCGATCTGAGGAGAAGAGAGGCCATCTACGCCTGTAAAGTCAACCCGAGGGCAGTGAGTTTGGTTGGGGCAGAGGAAAATCAGTGGAGAAGTTGGGATAGTGGGTATCTGCAAAAAGAGGGTCGACTTTTGGCTTGTTTCTGTCATCCCTCAAACCCCACAGTTCTACTTTTAGATCCACCTTGAGCTGGTTCCCACTGTTTTAGCATAAGAAAGGACAGATGAGTCTAGATTTCTATCTAGTGCAGCAAAAGAATGTTTCAGTCTGGCTCTCAAAGAATTAAGGACAAGCCTTCAATGGTTCCTGTTTCCTCAGCAATTATGGGTCCTTGACAAACCTCTTTATATTTTAAGCCTAAGAAACAAAATTGTATGCATTTCTTCATAACTGTGCAAAGTATGGTTTGAAAAAAAATCACTTGCTCCCTAAATGCTTCTTTTCTTATATTTGAGGTGAGTTTTCTCACATTCACTTTTTTGATTTATAATCCCACCCCCTCACCCTTCATCATTCCATACTAACTTTCCCCCAATTTTTATACAGAGACATGATATATCTTCAATTGTTGTCTTCAATTAGTTGTCTTTCAGAAAGATTTAAAGGAGTCTTGAGCTGCAGAAGTGTTTCTCCTTCCTTGAAAGTTAGTGTCCCTCATTTTTTTTCCAACCCAGTGAAGAAGTGTTTTGCTCGGGGGTTGTTGTGTTTGATTCAGGCACAGCAACGGCGGCCCCTTGGCATTTCTTGCCATAAGTATTTCATCAAAGGTTAAAGACCATGGCGAGCCCTTTGAACCTGAGAGCGCACTGCTACAGCCCCAGAGGGATAGTTGGCTGGGCTTATGAAACACGGTGTAACACCGAGCTGTCTACTCGGATCTTCTTACCTTTTGGGGTGTGGCAGGCATTTTGGGGAGCAGCAGTTGCTCACGGGAATAAGTCGTGTTCATTAAGGTCCTTTTTGTATTTAGCAGGTCAGGTAGTAGAGTAAGAGTAAACATGTATTACAGTATTTTAGCTTTGGGAAGAGAATTTCTTTCTATAATCTTGTAAAATTGAAACGTCTTTTTGCAGGGGTGGAGCTTTACTAACTAGCCCCAGTGGACCAGGCTATCATATCATGTTGCCTTTCATAACTACGTTCAGATCTGTGCAGGTGAGTGATGCCTAAGCGAGCTCCCACACTGGCTGGACAGGTGTGACAGGAGTCCTTGCCACACTGGTGGGTGGGGATGGATGCAGTATTGCTTAAGCAGATGGTAACATTTACTTCATTGCAAGTATTAAAGATCAAAGTACAATGGTCATAAACCCAAGTGTGGATGATTCTTGCGTTCCCTCACTGTTGGCATGCACTAGAAGTATGAGTTAGGCAGCTTGAGCAGTCTGGCCTCTCCCAGCTGTATAGTGGTCGGCAACCCGTTTTTGCAAGCTTTCATTGCTGCTCTCAAAATAAAAATGAGACTTGGGAGCACAACTAGAATTGCAAACCAGGGATGACTTGGTTTAGAACATTGTTTGGTTTCCATAGCGGCAGGCTCCTGGGCTACTGTTATCATGGATCTGAATTTCCATATGTATGTTGTTTTTCTGCCTCCAGTCTTTTGCCCAGTTGTGTGGCACCTTAGGGAACATTGTGTTTGAACACATCATAGAATATTTGAAGTGAGCACCTGATCATCTAGAATAGGGGTGGGGAACCTTTTTTCTGCTGAGGGCTGTTTGGCTGTTGATAACGTGTGGGCCATACTGGTCTAAACATCTAATTAATTCAACCCTAATGCCACGGCTGGAATTGCTTCTCTTTGGTGAGGTGTGTGATGTTAGCTGGTATGGATGATTTTGTAGGCTTTATGTGGCCTGAGGGCCAGACATTTCTTACCCCTAGAAGATCTAGAACCGGCATCCTCAAACTATGGCCTGTGGGCCACATGCGGCCCGCTGAGGACATTTATCCGGCCCGCCAGGTGTTTTTAACCCTGTTTTGTTTTTTACTTCAAAATAAGATAAGTGCAGTGTGCATAGGAATTTGTTCATAGTTTTGTTTTTTTTTTTTAACTATAGTCTGCCCCTCCAACAGATCTGAGGGACAGTGAACTAGCCCCATGTTTAAAAAGTTTGAGGACCCCTGATCTAGAAGAACAGCTTGGCCATGAGGGACTTGGTAGATCCATGTCTTTTAGCATAACAATGACAAAATCACAGTCATCTGGGACTACTTTTCCATGCTCGTTTATTATAAATCTCTGGATTCAGAAGATGCTTATGTTCCATTTGTCCCTGGTTTGTCACAACTCCGGGACATGCCATTAGGGTTGCTGTTGTGAGCTGTTGAGTCTGCCCCTGACTCAGGTGACCTCTATGCACAGGGATTGAACCTTGTGATCCAGAGGGTTCGCGTTGGCTGACAGCTGGGCTGTAGATCATCAGACCTTTCTTCCTAGTGTGTTGTATAGCCTGACAGCTCTGTTGAAACTTGTTCAGAAACAAATAAGTCCACAAATGGATGAGGTGCATCAGCCGGAATCAGACCTATGCTGTCTCTTAGGTGGGAGGTGAGAATGCTACCACTGACTCACCGAAGTGGTCTGTTTCACCATAGCCTTGTAAGTGAAGCTTGTGCTTCCTAGTCAGGGAGAGTGTCATTTGTGAACATTGGAGCCCATCCTCTTACTACCTCATTTTATTGCACCTCACAGATACTGGGACTGTTACAAATTGAAGGTCCTTGCCTGTGTCAAGCAAGTCTATAGCCCCCATTTATTTGCAAAGTGAAGTAACTTTGTGTCTCTCTGTCTGTTAGGGTGATACTTAATATTCCAGACTTGGTCATTCTTAAACCAGATTTGTGGTGATCTGTGATCAGTGATCTTTGATGTTACCATTGTAATTGTTCTGGGGTGCTATGAGTCAACCCATATGAGATCACAAACAGTCAATAAATGTGTATATGTTCTGATTATTCCACTGACCTGTGGCCCCCCTAGCTCTCCCTTTCCTTGGGCCTCCTGTGCCCTGAGACAGGACAATATTGAAATTAAATCAAGTAATAATGCTTCAATGACTTCTAACCATTCAAATGAGAGGAGAGTCCTTGAGTCAATGCGACAAGCTTAAATGTCGCCCTCGAAGAAAGTACCACAGCCACCCTAACTTTCAGCTGCCACCACCCTGGCCAGTCAGCAGCCATCAGCATCAAAGCACAACCCTCCACCAGCAAAAGGATGAATGTCTGCTGATGGTTCAAGTGATGGTTAGCAATTTGTAACTATAAAATACTCTAATTAGGGTGTATACATTGAGGGAGGGGGTGGGGACATAACGCTATTACAAACTTAATAGACTACAGTGTAGCAGGCACATACTTTTATACACACTGGGAAACCAACAAAGTTGTGTGCCTTGCTTCAGTGCACAGCTCGGTGTATTGCAGTGGTCTGGAACTGCAGCCACAGCATCTCCAAGGGCCGCCTGTGGTCCTCTTTGGGCTTGGCCGAGCTCCAGTCCCCATGTGTATTCACCCCTGCTTTGCTCCATGCTCACCTCTTCTCACCACCTCCCCTCCATTCCGTCTCTCTTCCTGCCTAAGCCTTGCCAGGCTTTCTGCAGGCTCATCTCTTACTCAAAACCCTTCTCATCCATAGCTCTTATAATCTGCCCTTGAAATTTTAGCCCTGGGCATTATTTTCATTGCTTTCTATGTTTATGTGTTTATTTTTCTTTCACAAAAGTCTATATGCATCTAGAGGCTTGCGGGTAGGCATCGTGTCATTGTATTTCTGCTCATCCCACTTAGAGTAGAAGTTGCTAAAACAGTGGATTTCCTCGCAAGTAGTGTGGAACGAACATCCCATGTTGATTTTCACAGCAACAGACCCTTGGTGATGAGGCACTTTAAAAAATGTTCAAACCCGACAGATCTTGTGTCTTCTTAGGGTTTATGCTAAGTCATGCTTAACAGAGATGTAAAAAGGAGACAGGGGCAATAATCCATGAACATATTTAAGAGCTTATCTACATGTATATTATTACTATATTTACTGCATACTTATATATACTTCGTGTTTTACTTACTTACGTTTTAATTTTACTTTTTTTCATGAGCTTTTTGAAGACCCTCACATCTTTAAAAGTATGTAGTAAATATATAGCTTATGTATAATTAAACTCTTTGATAAATTAACTTGTCAAGAGATGGAAATAAAATTAGGAAAGAGATTTCCATGTGAACTAATATAGTATGCATCATCAGAAACAAAAAACACTGAATGTTAAGGGCCATGAGACTAAATTGAAAAGTTCTTGCTTGCTGTATCTGAAAAATAGCATTTGAGGAAGAATTATATTAAAGCCCCAATAAGACATTGTTCCCATAAAAATGAGACATGAGTTAACTTCTTAGGAATTTCGAGGGCACAGTTGAAGACAGCTCAATATAAACAAATGGCTTTGCACACTTGGTACTAGAAAGGTAATGGGTGTGGCACACTTTGGGGAGTCTGAGGTCCCAATCTGTGAGTGTTCTGTATGAGAAAAGAATGTAAGAGAAATTAAAAGGAAACTGGCGATTTTACAGTATATATAAAATAACCCAAAATGCACTTTCAGAATCAATGTTCTGTAATGCTGGCTTATGAACACCAAAGGACTTCAGACGGGTAACAGGAAAATGGGATTAAAAATGATGTTTTTCCTCAGATTCTCTGTATTTCACCACAGAGATTTTCCCGTTGTATCCTTCGTCTTAGCACACAACACAGGTAACACATAACATCTCAGTTTGTACTTCTATCATGTACCTGCTAGAGGGTTGCCCTTTCTGAACGGTATTCCACAAGGCAGTTCGTTGGCTGTGTGCTTCAATAAGGCATTGTGTGTTCAGAGGACACTCCTGGTAGATGTTATTGGTAGTGTCTGTTCAAGGCCTTAGCGTGCTGTGGGGCATCAACTTGGACTCAAACAAAGGTGTGGCCTGGGCGGGACAATCATTCACTAGATTATTGGTGCTCTAGGACCGATTAGTACAGGTGGCGACTCTTCCGTCAGAAGAAAACATGGTAGTCCATGTGAGAGATCACTGGGGCCTGAACTCCAACACTGACGGTAGCTGTAGAGGAAGGTCGCTGTGGAGTTCAGGGAGCCCCATAGCAGAGACTACTTGAGTGTATGTGATAGCTGTCTTGATCCTCCGTGGAAACAGTACTGGGGGCAGTGGAACCGAGGTTCAGAGTGCAAGTCCTAGCTGTCATGTCCTCTTGGGTAAGCTGCTATTCCCAGGCCAGTTACACCCGTACCTGGGACTCTGGAACAGGAGAAGCATCTAGTCTTGAATCTTTCATTTCTACTAGGATGCGAAAAAGAAGTGATTCTGTAATAGCTAGTCTTTGGGATTGGAACTTATAATGGAGCGCTCTGGTACTTTGGCAGCCCTGCAGACATTGGCCCCCTGGGAGCAGTAGTTATTTGAAGACATTGATCATTTTTTTTCCCCTTCCCCAGACAACACTACAAACTGATGAAGTTAAAAACGTGCCTTGTGGAACAAGGTAAGCATTCCTCTTGCTTGCCAACCATGCGTTAGTTCAGATGGAGGTTTTTGGGGTGTGTTTTTTATTATGATTAAGCTGTGCTCACTTTTTGGTCCTTCAAACTGGCATGGCCATAATCCAGGTCGATTGCTGTTCTGAGCACTATCAGACCAAAGCTTATGTCTATATGGGAGCCTCCTGTAGTAAGAGCCTTTATGGTGGTATCAAAAACCAGAAAGGGTTTATGGGCTGCAGATCTGATAGCACATATCAGGACTGCCACGTCTGCTTTATGACTTTTCCAAGCTTTGTTTCCTCACGCTACAAATCAAATATGAAGACCTACTGTACAGTTATAGTAAAGATTAGATTTAAAACACTGGACCCAGAGTAGGTACTCAATAAAAAATAGTTTCAAATTAAACCAGCCTGCCTGTTGTGTGGTGGGTTATGCCTTGGGCTGCTAAACACGGTCAACAGTTCAGAACCAGCAGTTCAGTCCTGGAAACCCACAGGGCAGTTCTCCTCTGTCTGAGGGCCACTGTGAGTCAGCGTTCACTCAGTGACAGCGCGTTTTCTTTGGTTTTGCTTTTGGGAATGTAGTTTGTGGTTCAGAAGTCTGAAGCCTAAGAATTTTCAGGTGGTGCTGATGCTGTTGGTTCAAGGACCTCACTTTGGGAATCACTGCCCTCTAACGAGCTGTAGAGAAAGGCAAGTCAGGCCCCAAATTGTTTCTAGAATATAATCAGTGCATTCAATTGTATCCAAGGAAGCATGTAAATTCCAAGGTTCTTTTTTTTTTTTTTTAATCAACTAAATAACAGTAAAGTCGTTGACATCTCTAGAGAGACAAAAATGCTTTTTTTAAAGGACAGGCTTCCTCTTGGTTTCAGGTTAATCGATTGCATTACTAAGGCCTCCCTGGGTCCATCTGTAACTCTTGTGTGGGTTCCCACTACAGATCACTTAAAATCGGCAGCTGGTGGGCCTTGGGATGATTTTTGTTTTCATGTTCATGCCTTTTCTAAGTTTGCCAGATTTTCCCTCAGTTAACAGGTGTTGCCGTTTATTATTAGAAGGAAGAAATGCTGTACATTGGTAGGAAGACTTAGTTATTTCTCTAGAGTTGTAAATCTCTAACTTCTTATGTCTTAAGTTGAAGTACACATGCCCCTCAGGGTAGGAGCTGGTAAGCCAGGAGGTATTTAAAACCAAAGTACTGCCACTGAGTCGATTTTACCTCAGAGCAATCCTAAATAGGGTTCTGGGGCTGCCAGTCTTTACGGGAGCAGAAAGCCTCATCTTTCTTTCTCCCTTGGAGCAGCTAGAGGATTTGAACTGCTGACCTTGAGTTCAGCAGCCCGATGAGGAAGTATATAGGGATCCCTAAACAAGACCAAGCTTTCTATGGTGCCAGTTTAATTGAAGGTTTGGGGGTAAATTCTCTTTTTCATATTAGAATAAAAACAGAGGAGAAGTAGATTAAAAACCCTGCTGAATTGTTAAAACAAGCAGGGAACATCAAAATAGCTTTCAGCTTTTGCCTGGTTGGTGGGGAAGTGCACTGCCTGTGCTGGCAACGTTAGTTATTGAGGGCAGAGCGCAAAGTAGCTCGAGGTTATAGGGTTTGGTCTAAGGTGAGCTGGTTTGGTTGCAGCTGGGGCAGAGGTGGGCCTTGGATTAAGAGAGGCGCTGGGTGAGTGTGTGCACGAGCAGAATAGTAGGGGCATTCTTGGGAGCGTCACTTTCATCAAGCCATAGTAAATGTCCACAGGATTTTCTTGTAAATGTCTGTCATGGCATCGGCTCGTATCTGACGTAGCATGTCTTCCATGTCTTTGTTTTCAGTGGTGGAGTCATGATCTATATTGACCGAATAGAAGTGGTGAATATGTTGGCTCCTTATGCAGGTATGGTGTACTTCTGTTACTTTAAAAAAAAGTACTTACCACCACATTGCTTCTGATTTGAGAGATTCCGTGAGGCCTAGGGAGACATTATTAAAAGCTCTTGGCATCAGTGGTGTTTGATAAGTGTGGGAAAATTAGTTCATGGAACATTCTGGACAGGCTGACTTTCTGCACCAGATGGGTAGTTCTTCTCTGAGTAGAGTGGCTCCCAAGAACAAGAAGATCACTGTGTATTTCTGGAATTGGAAAGTAGCACATTACCCCGTCAGGATTAGCTATTGTTCCCTTGTGTCGGACAAATTTAGAGCTTTATCAATATCTTGGGACCACATGGATTTTGTGACTGTAGAGAAATCTTTTCTAGTTGCTATTTATTCTGACTTAGAAAGCAGTCTGAAACTCCTCAGGGAAGGCAAAGCATTTTCTTAGTAGAAGGTGAAAACCCGCAAAGGTGGAGTGGGCACAGTGCCAGTGAGATGTTTTGGAGGCGCTCTGGAGAACGCTGCCTTGTTAACTTTGTTCTTGTCTAAACCAGCAGTCCAAAGAGGCGAAGTAGTTCTACCCTCCACCGTCGAGCCATTTTTACTTCTACTGGAGAGGACATCATGCTGTCATTGTACCTTCTGTCCCACAGAACGAAATGCTGCTCGGTTCTGTGCGTCCTCAGATTGTTAGGTTTGGCCCATTACTGAAGCCACTGACATGAGGATTGAGGCCTAGAAAAGTTAGCTTGGGATCCAGATGCATGTTCAGTTTAACATCATGAGTAGAGGCAAAAGTAGAGAAAAGATCTCAATGCAGAGGGGAGGCTGTATTGCTGTTGAGTGAATTTCGGCCCATTTTATGATTTTCCTTTACCTTTCTTCATCTGCCGTGCCGGGTGTCAGATGCAAGTGGCAGTGGTAGTAATAATGTCATCGGAATGCGTCTCCCTCCAGGGGGAGGATCATGACCAGGAACAGCTCCAAAGCGGATCCCTGCGAGGAAGAGATGGTGACCTAGCAGTAACTCTGCCCTCCAGCCTGTTGACATTCCTCCTGTGCCTCCCTCTCTCTCTCCTGTGTTTGGGAACGCTCAGACCCTACCTAACAATGAAGCAGTCTATTAAGGAACAGGGAACAAATCTGGAATCAAGCTCTGGAAGCATGTGCAGATCAGCCCGATTTCAGCTCCTCTCTGCCCCATGGGAGACTCCTTTTAGCCTAGCCATCTGTACCCTGTCGGCCCTCTGCGGCTGCTGGCTGTGCCACTGGGCCCCATTTAGGCCTCTCATTGTCTTCGTGCGGCTGCTGGCCAGTGGTACAGCTCTTCTGTTTCCCCTCCTTCTCTCTTCCTGTTGCTTCTCTTTTTGTTTTTTCTGTTTTCCTCTCTGTCTGACAGACCTCTGTGGGGTCGGCTGCTTCAATACACAAACTCTGTGTCAATTTCAGTGTGACACGGCCACCTGACACTAACTAGTCCCCCTCTCTGTGAACCAGATGTGTCTTTTGCATAGTAGTTGCCTGGGCTGCAACTCACCTCAGTTGCATCGTCTACTGAGCAGTCCTGGCCAGTTGCATGCTAATCATGGCAGGACCAGATACAGGCTATTAAACCTTTCCCAGGAAATGTTAGTCAACCTGGACAGTAGTAACAAACGCTCTGGGGTAGAAAACTGGGCAAAGGTAGCTCCTCAGGGCTGGGTGGAAATCTATCAAGCTGTCTTTCCAAAGAACTCGGGGAAAAGCCCCATGAAGGAGCTCATTTCATCACTCTTGGTCACCATCACTGGAACAAAGTACGAACAAAAACAAAGGGTAGGTCTCTCGCCAGAGAGGAGGAGAGACTCTTAGATCATCACTTCACTTGGAAAGTAACCAAGCCTTTGAGTCACTGCATGCAACGTTCTACTTGAGAGGGCCAGTGGAACTAGTCTTTGTGTCTGAAGGCAGAAAGCAGCATGTGCCAGCAGGTAGAACACAGACTCAGACCGGAAATTCTCTGATTCTCAGTGTCCTAGTAGATAAAATGATGAACTTGAGTGGGGAGAATTCAGTGCGGGTGTATGGAAATTGCGTGACACAAAGTCTGGTCCATGATTAGCTTCTTTCCCCTTCTAGTCTGGTATTTTTTTACACCCTGTAAAAACTACCCTTTTATTTTTATTTTTTTATAAATCATTTTATTGGGGGCTTGTACAGCTCTTATCACAATCCATCCATCCATTGTGTCAAGCACATGTTTGTTGCCATCATTCTCAAAACATTTTCTTTCTACTTGAGCCCTTGGTATCAACTCTTCATTTTTCCCCGTCCCTCCTAAAACGACCCTTTAAAATACATCCTGTTTTTTCACAGCCTAGACCCAAAACTGTGTTTTTTAAAACAGTCGTTTTATGAAGGGATGACAAAGTTTATGGATAAATTGAGTTGAAAAATACTGGAATTTTTCTACAAACTTTTTGCAGACCCCCTCACGTACATATATAACTCAACTCAACTCATTACCATCGAATCAATTCCAACTCACAGAGACCGGATGGGACAGACAGTCCTGCCCTGGTGGGGTTCTGAGGCTAGCTCGTTACAGGAGTAGAAAGCCTCGTTTTTCTCCCAAAGAGTGGCTGGTGGTTTCCACCTGCTGACCTTGCACCTAGCAGCCCAGTGCATAGGCCACCAGCTTACACACACACACACACACACACACACACACCCCAAAAAACAAAAAAATTGCTTATGAAAAATGATCTTTTGCAGCTGCTTTCCTATTATATTGAGTACACTTCTTTATCTCACAGTCAAGTTTTGCATTAATTGCCTTCTACCTTCCCTGCCTCCACTCGCTGTGTCTCAAGTCCTGTGCTCCTTTCTGCCAAAGGGCACATTGTTACAATACACACCCGGTTGTGCCATGCCCTCCTTCACAATGTAGATATACTTTGCTTAGTATGGGAATCAAAGCGTGTCCTCTGGTACTTGCAAAGGCAGTGGGGTGGTAAGTAAGGGGCAGGGGTCTGGAAAATGTGAGCGTGAGGAGCACAATCAAGGATTGTGATCTGTGTTCGCAGTTTCGTTCTATCTTGTTGCCACGTTTCCTCGTGTACATCATTTCACTCTTAACTGCTGCTCTGGCGTCGTTAAAGTACTAACAGACCTGGATGGTGTCTTCCCTGCAGTGTTTGATATCGTGAGGAACTACACTGCAGATTATGACAAGACCTTAATCTTTAATAAAATCCACCACGAGCTGAACCAGTTTTGCAGTGCCCACACACTTCAAGAAGTTTACATTGAATTGTTTGGTAAGTGGGAAATCTTGTTCAACTTTTAAATAGATACTAGAGTAATGTCAGTAAACCTTCCATCACGTGACCCTATTTTCTGACTTTATACTAGAGCACGTGTCTGTAAGAAAACTTTATTGAGGTGTTAAGTTTAAAATGTCTTACGATTAAGTGAATACATTTAAACTGTGTTGTGAATGGATATTATTTTTCTGAAATGCATAGTATAAACCTGGTAGAGATTGGGAAAACTCCATTAACTTATGGACTGTGTTCTGGTGGACTGAATAGCCAAATTACCGTTGTTGCTAATTGAATAGATCACTTGAGAAAATGATAGATGATTATGAGGCATTAAGTCTTATGGAGGCTTCTTAAAACCAGCCCCCAATTTGATGGCTTACTAGGAGCCAGCAGGTTGGCATGCTTGGAGTTGAGATTTTATAGCCAAAGGATACAAAGCAAAATCAGTCAAGGGAAAAAGGCGCATGGGGCAAAGTCCAGAGGGAACCAGGCCCAGCTTCCCAGGAGTCCTCCCCAGGGGAGTCACACAGGGCCCGTTTCATTCCTTCAGCATTGGCTTGTGACAATACTTGTGAAGGGCTGTCCACCAAGAGAAGCCTATTTGAGACTCAGCGCCCACGTGTTTTTGTTTCTTTTTTAACTGGGGACTGGTCACATAGGCCCGGTATCTATCCTAATTCAAGACTCTAAAAGGAAGGCAGGTGTTCAGCTACTCTTACCAGTTCTGGGAATGGTGGAAATTGTTCCAAATCCATGTTCTCAGATGACAGCCAAGGGCCAGTCATACAAACCGGCCTCTCTGAAGATCACAAGCTCAGGCCTGTGCTGTTAACTCTTTTGAACACGAATTACTTTTTATTTGTGAAATTCACTGGCCAGGCAATGGGTTGTCACTGTTGATCTCTCACTTCTCCCTGGGAAATCCCTTGTGAATTTCTGAGAGAGGCGCCAGGATAGTTAATCAATTTAGAGATCTACCAATTGGTTCCTCCTTGGTTATCATCCCTTGATAATACGGGGCTATGAGGAAACTTAGTCCGGATTTGTCATAGCACTGTGCTGAAAGTATTATTTTGAGGTAGGTAGAAAATTCATAAGTTACAACCGAAGGGCCTCTCTATTGGCCATCGGTATGTACTTGACAGACCTTGCTATAAACTAACCCTCCTCTGAAACCACAGAAGTAGTCCGCTGAGTTTCAGGGAGATGAAATTGGCTATTTGAGGACTGGAGGAAAGATTGACAGAAAACTGGAATTTTCTTTTTTCCCTGAGAATCTGGACAGAAAGTCTTGAGTTAAAATACTAGGGAGTCAGATTCTCCAGTTCCCATTATTGGATACATGTAGACTAGCTGCTTGCCATCTTCCTTCCACAGTTTTTTTATTAGATAAGTCTTCATACTTTCTCCCATGTAAAAGGAAAACTGTGTGTGTGTGTGTGTGTGTGTGTGTGTGTGTGTGTGTGTGTGTGTTTCAAATACATATATATAATACACAAGGTATCATACCAGGAGACTTCAGGAAGTTTGTGGGAAAATTCCACTCTATTTCACCAGAAACTTTTTGAAGCCTCTTGAGATACATCTCACATCTACCTATATATCTTTCTAAAACAATTTATAGTTTTAAGTTCTATAAAAGAATAGTACCACTTTAGGTCTATAATGATTGGTCTTATTTCACTATTAAAAAAAATAAGGGATGAGTATCCTAAGAGCTGCTGTTCTTGACTCCAACACAGATCAAATAGATGAAAACCTGAAGCAAGCGCTGCAGAAAGATTTAAACCTCATGGCTCCGGGTCTCACCATCCAGGTACGCCCTTCTCCTCGGGACACACCGGGCGGGTTTGGACACTTCACCTCTGCTCCGCCTTTCATCCGGTTGTTTACTGGGCAGTGATTTCATTGAAGTTCTGTCCGAATTTTTAGACTGCCGTTCTCATTTTGCCTTTAGTTCTCTGCCAAAGTAAAATACTCCCGTAGCTTACCATGGGTGCCATTTCCTTGTGGACACTCCTACAGGTTCCTAAAGAAAATTAACATTCATATCCTGCTCTGCATGAGGCACGACAAATGACTTTAAATAATAAATAGTACCTGGAAATCCAGAAAGTGTAATCTTTGCTCTCAGATTTGAGCAGTAATACTAGACAAATAACACTAAGTATTAATTAGAAATGTAAAAGAGTGATGAATTATTCGTGCTGTAAGGGTTAAGAGACTATTTCAAAAAAGTGACTGGTAAGACTATGATTGAGTTGGGATTTTAGGTAGATATGGAAGAATTAATAGGATTTACATGAGAGAAATGAATGAAGAGGGTTTTTTGAGTGGGTGAGTGGGTAAATGAATTTAGTAGTGATGGTGGCAGTGGGAGGTAGAATGGTGAGTGTAAATGCCTCCTATTCGGGATCCCTATTTTTTTCAGCTTGTAGGTTGGAATCCATTGGTGTGCTGTAAGGTCCATTTTAAGGAGTGACGACAGCATTATTTAAAAAAGTGGAATGGAGTAGGAAAATCGGTTTGGAGCACTCAGAGTGTGAATGTTAAGCATTCTGTGAGAATGGCTTGTTTTAGCTAAGTGTGTGGTGGTGAATGATAAGGTAATGATAAGTTTCGTCATGAACCTTTTAAAGCCCCTTGTATTGGGATCTCAATATGAAATGCATTTCTTTCTGTGGTCGGGGTCCTGCGAAGTGGCAGTGTGGTGACTCTGGGGTCCTTTCTCAGAGGCACTGGGAGATCAGTTGATGGTCATGAGGACCAAGCATTCTGAGCCTCCACATGTGCCTTACTCTCTCCTCTCAGTCAGTGTGCTGCTGCTGAGAAGGGGCCTCCTGCCACGGAGCCTGCGCGTGCCGCTCATGGTGAGGCTGGGAAGACGGGGCAGGCCCTTGTGGGGGCCTCCATCGTGGTCTGCCTTTGTCTCAGTGCCTGAGAGGGAGCCACCAAGGGAAGGAGTCCTTTGAGGTGTTCAGAGCTAACTTTGTGAAACCCTGGAGTTAAAAATATCAATTCTCAAGATAATTGACTATGACCATCACCGTTTCTAAGATTCTACCCAGGTTGTTACTCAGAGATCTAACTCATTCCTTGTAACAGCTGCTGAGAATGCCTTTCTTCATATTACTTAGCCCGCACCTTGCTGTTTCCAGTATTTTACTATTAATAAACAGCGTGGCAAGCATTCCTGGCATGTCTCCTTGCGTATGCATACCCACAAATGGTTTTCTAAGGTAAAGCCCCAGAAGTGAAGTTATTTGCAAAACTATAGGGTCAGCACATTGCCATTGAATCAATTCAGACTCATGGTGACCCTGGGGTTGCACAGTAGAACTGCTTAGGGTTTTCTTGGTTGTATTCTTTAACTAAAAGCTCACTGCCATCAAGTCAATTCCATCTCATAGCAACCGTGGAAGACAGTGTAGAACTGCCCCTCTGGGTTTCTAAAACATAATTCTTTATGGGAATTGACAGCCTCCTTTTTCTCTTGAGGACTAGCTGGTGGTTTCAAACTGCTGACTTTGTGATTAGCAGCCCAACACGCAGCCCGCTGAGCCAGCAGGGCTTCTCTGTAATCCCTAGGGAGCTGAATGGCCAAGCCTTTCTTTCATGGCTTTGCTGGGTGGGTCTGAACTGCCGGCATTTAGGTAGGGCATACAGGCTGCTTTGTGCCGTCTGGGGCATCTGTCTTGAAAGAGAAGTATGGCAGAGTGCTCCTCAGAAGCAAGAATGCTTAGACGTCATCTCGTACTTGTGACATGTTGTCAGGGGAGAGACCACTTCCCAGAATGGAAAGGGACATCATGCTTGGTAAAGGCGAGGGGCAGCAAAAAGGTCCCCAACAAGATGGATTGTTGACACAGTGATTACAACAATAGGCTCAAACATAAAGAGCAATTGTGAGGATGTCGAAGGACCAGGTTTCATTCAAAGGGTGGCTATGAGTTGGAACTGACTGAATGGCTCCTAACAACAACAATCAAATTGTCCTGCGGAGTGGATACACATGTCTCTCCAGGAGCTTGTCTCCCCATGACCTCTCCAGTATTTGAAGCAATGTCACTACATCAACAGCTGTGGAGCTCTCCTCTTTGACTTGTGTTTCTGGATTAATGAGGTTGAGTATCTTTCTGATATTTCTGTTCTGTCAGTGTCTGTTCATATCCTTTCCCTGTTTTTCTGGGGTTTTTTTCTTTTACCGATTTTTTGTATACTTTACATATTTTTATAATCATACTTTATATGTGTTTTAAATATTAAAGTTGTTGGGAAAGGAAGAACAAAGTGAAATTCACCAGTAATCTTACCATATAGAATAATCACTTTTAACAGTTTATTGTATTTTTTCAGATTATTCTTACTATACAGGATTATATGTTATAGATATGAATAAATACATTTTAGAGAAAATGAAATCATACCATGCCATACTTTCTCCACCACTAATAGTAAATATGAATACTGTTCCAAGTTAAAAATATAAATTTGTTGCATCACTACTTTTAATGATTATATTTAATTAATCACTATGATATCTAATATTTTATCATTATATGTAAGGCACAGTGACCAAGTTTAGCATATTCCTTTTTTCTAATCCTTAAAGTAGGATTGATAGGTCAAAAGTATAGATAGTTCCCCTTGGTGGGCTTTTTGATTCATATTGCAAATTAACTTTCAGAAAAATTATCAATAGCCTACATATTTTCATCAATAGTGTTGAGCTATAGACCCAGCACATTTGATTTTGTGATTGTACCCACATCATTAGCTGATGCACACAGCCTCCTCGCTCACAATCCTTTGAGAGAAAATTCATCTGTTGTTTTGTATTGGCTAGTGAGGTTGAAGGGGAGCGCTGGTGACATAATGGTTATGTGTTGGACCTCCTAAGCACAAGATCAGCAGTTCAAAACCACCAGCCATTCCACAGGAGAAGGATGAGGCTTTCTACTCTTGAAATGAGTTACAGACTCGGAACCCCACAGGGTCACTTGTGAGTTGTGATCTACTCAGTGGCGGTGAGTGTCTGAAGCTGAGGAGCCTTTGTGGCGCTGTTGGGTAAGCAGTGGACTACTAACCGCCAGGCTGGCAGTTCAAAAGTAGAAGTTACTGAATGGGAGAAAGATGAAGAGATCTGTTTTTATAGCCTCGAGTTGTTCTGAGTCAGAACCGCTCAACTGCAGTGGGTAGTGAGGCTGAGGAGCCCCTGGGCAGTCCTAATGATTAGCATGCTAATTGGCTAACCGAAAGGCTTGTAGTAGGAGTCCACTCAGAGGCACCCCGCAATCTACGTATGAATAAAGCCAGCCTTTGAGAGCCCTGTGAAGCCAAGGTTCTTGTCTGTCTCCTAGTTGCCAGGAGCCGGATTAACTTGATGGCTATTGTTCTCCTTTTGTTTTATGTGAGTTGAATATCCTAGGATATTTGCTATTTGTGTTTCATTTGTGACTTGTTGATCGTGTTGCTAAAACGTTTGGTGGTGGTGCATTCATTTTCTTTACTGATTTAAGTATGCTGTTTTTTAATGTTGGCTAGTGCAGCTAGTTTAGATGCATAGGGGGAAAAGGGAAGGGAGAGACAGGAAGGCAAAGAGAACGAGTCAATAAATAGCCGCATAGCAAACATGCTGTCCCGGGTGCCTGTTTTCTTTCTGCCACTTCGTTCCCTTCATCTTAACAAATCTGAAACCTCAAACTTCTACAGAGTGATTTTAGTCTTTTTTTCTTTGTGGTGGTTTGCTGTGTGGGCATGCTACAAGATCCCGACTCAAGCATTTCAGTAAAATCAGAAATTACAGCAACGGTCTCTACTTCCTTTTGTAGTTGAATATTAGGTTTCAATCCTTAATCCATCTGGAATCCATGTGGTGTCCACTCTGAGGTAGGACAGTGTCCTCCTCCATTGTGCTGTCAACTGAGCGCTGAGCAAGTGGTCCTTCCCCTCCCACTGGTGTTAGAAAGGACACTTGCACACGAGGGAAAGTCTCTTAACTTCATTCCGGTATCCATGAACTTTTTGAAGGCCCCCCTCATACCACATTCTGATACACACTAGACTTTTCCTGGATTTTGCTGTTCCGTGGGTTTTTCTGTTTCCATCTCTTACGAGGGAGTGAGCCCTTCCCATCAAATGTGCAGCTCTCCTGCTTTTCATTTTTATCACTAAGGAGCCCCTCCGCCCTCTTGGGGCACCAGTGCAACAGTATGGAGGACATTTCCAACACAGAACCCCCTGTACACACACACACACACACACACACACACACACACTCACCTCAGAGCAACTAATCAGTCCCCGTGCTCTGTGGATTTTACCACTAAAACCCGTATGGAACTGTCCATTTTCACGGACACATCCTAGACCAAGCCACCGCTCTGCGTGGACTGTACAGTTGCCACCTGCAGTCGGCAGCCCATGCTTACCTGGCAGCGCCACCAGGACTTCTCTGCAGGAATAGGGGCATCTGCAAAAAGACAGTCCTGCTTCATGCTTCTTTTTACACGGCTAGAAGGGTGTCTGACTTCAGTGCTGTATGGCAGTGCTTGCCTGCATCACAGACCGACTCAGCGTGCACTTCATCAGCACGTGCTCATGTGCTCTGCTGACGTGCTTGTGCGATCTCCCGTGCCTCACCTCAACGTGTAGTGGGTTTTTGCGCCAAAGCCCCCAGCTTCTTTTCCCATTCCACTCTCATTCTAATATTTAGTTCTAAAATTAGTTACAGAAAGTTTACAGGATTGTGTTGTGTTACCAGCTATTGGTTTTCAGAGGGCTAATACAATGTCAGATCAGGTCGAGATAGGGAATGTTTAACTAGTAAAAGTAAATTCTTTGAGAGATCAGGTCTTTGATGCTGTAAAGTTTAGCTTCAAAACCACTTTCCAGATAACTCTTAATCTTAATTGTGTAAAAGGTGTGCTGTAGTTTGGGGGACAAAAATCGAAGTGTCTAGTGCAGTGTCTGAAAAAACAGGTAGGGTGGCCAGTGTAAGATTCAGGAAGACTGGTTAAGTGTTCATTGTGAGTGACTTGGTTTTCTCCCAGCCACTATTTAGTCAGTACTGAGTCAGCTCCTTGAGTGATTCAGGCCTATCCATTGTTTTAAATCGTATATAATGACCTGTTTTTATTTTTCAACTGTTTGTTTTTCACTTGGTAATTTCAGTCTCAGCACCCTGAACTTCCTTCTGTTTCTTTGTCCTATGAGTTTGAACAGGAAAGCCCGAGGGCCCCATTAAAGAGTTTTTGTGAAACACTTTTTCGGGGAACCCTTTGCTCAGGAAGTATGTTTCCCTATGGCTTAGAGTGACTTTTCCAGTCATCCTGAGGAGACCAGCTGCAGCCGATCGTGGGTTCTTGTGTGATGGCGTGAAAGTCTGTTCCCGTGGGATGTCTGCACTGGGTAGGAAGCAGGCAGCTGGAGCATCGTTGTTTCATCAGCATTGTTTCAGGAGCTCTTCTGCGGAACACTTAGTTCGAAGATTTCTTTCTTCTTCTTCTTTTTTTTTTCCTTTTCCAAATGTACTCTGGCCTTTTCCCTTTTTATTTTTTAGGCTGTGCGTGTTACAAAACCCAAAATCCCAGAAGCCATACGAAGAAATTTTGAGTTAATGTGAGTAATATGCATGGGATCCCTAATCTTTTCATTTAGGGCTGGCTACACACCAGTACACCAGCCTAGGGGAGACTTGTATGTGGGGTGCTGCACTCTGGGGTGGGTTCTATCTACCATACTTTTCGTCTAGTAGTATTGCCAGATCTCGGGTTCTCATTCCCCTTTGTCACCGGTAAATTCCCTTTTATCTTGACATTTCAGGGCAGTTGAGTGGCTCAGGATGCAATTTACCCTGTAACTTGTTGCTGGAAGCCTAAGAAGTTAGGATTTGGATGCAAATAGTGTCTTGAGTGAAATATGAATAGAGGAGAAAATTAGTTTACAGCGGCTCCGTGCCTGTATTTTGTTACTGTGCTGCAATGGTAAGAATAGGCACATTATTGGTCTAAAGTTTGGGTTCCCAATGTGTGTGATTGCATATCTAAAATTAGACCAGGATCCTTATCATTTGTTTCTGGCAAAGCCTGGCCTTAGTTGATTCCTAGTAGTCTTCTCTTTCAGGTGTCCTGGGCTTGCTGGGAATGAGTTATTTGCTTGACGTCAGATTTATTTCTAAGTACTTTAGAGGGTCTGCCTCTTTTACAGGAGACTACGTATTGTCGTTGACATGACAGTATAATTCTCTTAGGACAAATACAGAAAAGAATAAGCAAGAGTGTAGCAAATTTGGCTTGTGTGTTAGTAAGTGGAAAATATGAGACGTTGGAGAAATGACTGAAAGTCGGAATGCACCAGATGTCTAGCGAGGGGAGTCCAAGAAGAACCAAGAACACCGTCTTGTGGGATGATAGGGTTCTGAGTCCTTTTGGCACCCAGATCTGTATCTTCTATCCTGTGGAGTTTTATTTCCTTTTTCATTGGTGAAGAGGACATCTTCTTTTAAACTCTAAAGCATAGAATGGCAGTAGCAGCCTGGGTAGATCATGAGTCTGGTCCATTTATTGAGAAAACATTGATTGAGGGCTCACGATTTCTTTAAGTGTGGTGGCTTCTGGTGACTGAAAGACCAAAGCTGTGTGTTCCCTGTCCTCAGCCCATAGTGTCTCCAGTGGCATTGTGTGTCACCTGTGTCGGTGTGGCAAAAGGGGGAGAGTTTGGGGACACGTGTTTGGGGAAACTACCGGAGTTACTTTTCAGATTTTTATGATCAGATTTTCAGATGTATTTTATACACTGTTGGAATTCCAAAATTGAGAGCCACTTTGGAATCATTCATGCTAAGCCCCCCGCTCACAGTCATCTCGTTGGATACCGCTGTTGCCATGTAGTTCCTGGCCCCTGCTTGCAGGGGTTAGACATAGTGAGCCATGTCCATTATTAGAAAGCTCGAGTTCTTAGAAAATTCTATTTTACATTGAGCCCAGAGTTCACCACCTAACCACTGCTGCCAAACTTTATCTTCTGTACCATAAATAGGGCCACTGCACAAAGTCTCCACCTGACTCGGGCCATGGCTGAGAAGCAGTTTCGTTCTGCATACCAAACCACAGCCACGAGAAACTGCAGCTGCCCAGAGGCTGGGGCCTTTTTCTGTCCGGTCCAGTGGTGCCTCTGTGCCAGCAGAAGGCCTGCTGGCAAAGGCAGTGTTGATACACTCCAGATCATAGGCCTCGCCAGTGAGCAGTTAGAGGAGATTTCAGTGAGACACAAATGGACCCAATTATACTGTTAGCTCTGGATCACCTTGGCCAAAAAGAAATTATTTCAGCCAAATCATTTAGCCTGTGTAAAATAAAGTAGTGTCCATCATTACCTACCCTAATAGATTAGAAAGTTCTTGATGTGGAATGGATCTATTGACCCACTGTTTGTGACTACAGATAAGAATCATTCCTAATTTTGATAATGTTTTTCTCCACAGGGAGGCTGAGAAAACAAAACTTCTTATTGCTGTACAGAAACAAAAAGTCGTGGAGAAAGAAGCCGAGACAGAGAGGAAAAAGGCCATTATAGGTACTTGGATTTCTTTCTGAAATGGATGTCTCTAGGTACATGTGTTAGTTTTCCCTGCCCTTTTTTAAAAAATCTGCCTCATGATGTGTATTGGTGGGACTTGAAATGGAATCGCATCATGTTTAGTGGTGAATTCTGGAAACTTTGTTGTGCTCTCAGATGTCCTACCACTTTAAACACAGGCAGTGCTGCCAACGCTGAATGAAGTGCACTGGCTCTTTGCCGCTAGTTGACTGCTTTGTCTCTTTCAAGGACTCGGAGGAGAGTGGGCAGGGCTGATCGGCAGCTTTTGAGTTTCTCTCTACTGTAGGATTTTTGTTTATACACTTTAAAAATAGGGAATTTTGTTTTGTGGGTTGGTTTTTTTTTTTTTTTTTGTCAAACCTCAAACTTATAATATGCATCCTTGCTGTTGGCACATACCTCATTGTACCAGGATGACAGCTGCTGCAGTATGTGAACTTGCAGCAGGCTTGCTTCCAGTGCATTTGGTTTGATTTACAACATGTTGCTGAATTGCTCTCCAAAGTGATGCTACCATTTTTTACCTTCTCTTTGGAAGAAAGACGAGGCTTTCTACGCCCGTCAAGAGTTACAGTCTGGGAAACCCACAGAGACAGTTAGTTCTGTCCTATAGGATTGTTTGAGTCGGCATCAACTCCTGGCAGTAAGTGTGTGTGTCTGTAGTGAGGAGTTCCCATTTTTCTGCTGCCATATTTGCGTTTCCGTTTTTGCATCCACATCAGCCTTTGGAGTTATCAGACTTTAAGTATGTGCCAGTGTGGTGCTAGTGGGGCCAGTGTCATGACTTCAGTTTGCGTTCATCTTTGATTACTAGTAAAGTTAGATATCATCTGTTGGCCACGCTGGTTTTCTTTCTTTTTTTTTTATATATACCAAGTGCCTCTTCATATCCTGAGCCCATAGCTGGATTGCTTTTTCTTTTTAAAATGAATGTGTAATTCTTTTTATCTTCTGGATACTAATCCTTTCCCAGATTTATACATTGCAGGTATCTTTTCCCAATTTTGGGCTTGTCTTTGAACTTGATATCTTTGACATGCATATTTTGATGAGTCAGTTTCATCAATCTTTTCCTTTATGGTTTGTTTGGCTATCTTATTTAAGAAAGTTTTAAAATTTTGCTTTTCATATTTAACGTCCAGTGTGAAATAAAGGATTGTTTTATTTTTTCTGAATGGCAAGCTTATGTTCCCCGGCCTGTTTGTACTACTTATACCACATCCGCCATGTCCCATGGTGCAGTATGTAATTGGTTGCTAGGGTCATTTTGTGGGGGTCTGTTCCATAACGCTCACTTGTTTAGTTATGCTTTGGGCTGCTGTCCACAAAATTAGCAGTTCAAAACCACCAGCAAGACATGGCCTTCTAACTCCCTTACAATGTTACAGTCTTGAAAACTCAACAGGAGTAGTTCTGCCTGGTCTAGTAAGGTTGTGATGAGCCTGCATTGACTCCATGGTAGTGAGTTTATATTTTTGGTTTTAAAAATAATCCTGTCTTGTTTTAATTGCTGTGGTTTTTATGTTAAGTGTTGCTATCTCTTGGGAGAATTGAGTTTCTCCATAATTATTCCTGGTACCTATTAACTACTCCTATTTCTAGCATTATATTAATCGGGGTCCTTTAATCTTCCATATAAATCTTAAAATGAACTCTTCCAGTTGAATAAAATATTGTATTGGAATTTTAATTGGATTTGTTCTAATTTGGAGAGACTATCATTTTGATATTTGATCTTTTACTTCTGTTTCTCCATTTATGAGAAATGTCTTCCCCCCAAAGCTTGACAATTGTCTTCTTAAATTTCTTGCACATTTCTGTTGATACTTACTCTCTCTATATATATCCTTTACATTTTTTGCTGTTGTAATAGTAGCTTTTTAATAAAAGTATGTTTTTTTTCTTCTCTTTTTTAACATTTTATTAGGGGCTCATAAAACTGTTATCCCAATCCATACACACATCAATTGTGTAAAGCGCATTTGTACATCGTTTCTCAAAACATTTTCTCTCCATTTAAACCCCCGACATTAGGTGTATGTTTTTTTTAAGTATCTTATTTATACAAAAAATTTTCTAAATGATGGCAACATATGTACAAGTGTACTTTATACAATTGATGTATGGATTGTTATAAGAGCTGTAAGAGCCCCCAATAAAATGATCTTTTAATTAAAAAAAAAAGGTAAAATGCTTAAAAAGCAAAAACAACACCCCCCCCCCACACACACACACATACATTTTCTAATTGGTTGTAGCTTTTGTGTAAGAAACTACATTTTCTGTGTAGCATTCTTGGTAACAATGCTTTTATCTTTATTAGGCATTTAGATTTCCCATGTGGGATAAGCATGTTGTCTTTAGATAAGGACAGTTCCATTTCTTTCTTTGTAACCTGCGTCTTTTATTTCTTCTTTCCTTACTGCTCAGGCTATACAGTTTTCAATACAGTATTGAGAAAGAAAAAGAAATTTTCTGGTAATAGGTGGTCTTGGTTTTTACTTTAAAGGAAATAATCCCCAGCATGTTTGCTGTGGTTAAGTTTTATTAGGCTAATGAAATTTCCTTCTAGTTTCAGCTTGCCAAGAGAACTTTTAGAATTTTTTTCAGCATCCGTTGAGATGACCATATGAATTTTCTTTTTTAACTATTCAAAATCTATGTTAATAGAGTTTCTACAATTAAATCATCTTTGCCCTCCTGGGATAAACCCAGTTGGTCATGATATAGTGAGTTCTTCCTAATTCATTTCTCTATATGGTTAGGATTTTACTTTTATGTTCATAAATGAGATCAAGGTTTTGTGGGGGTTTTTTTTGTTGTTGTTGCTAGTTTGGTGTTTGTGATAACATTTAATCTACTAGTTTAATTTCTTTAATGTGTATATATGTTTTTTAAAGTACCTATTGCCATTTTTTTGTAAGTCCCTTTTAGTAATCATATGAGTGAGCTTTAAAAAGTTCAGAAAAAAAGGGAGTAGAAAGCTAATGGAATTTCCCCCATGAAGTTTTTGAAAAACCCTGTGTATTTTTCTAGAAGATTGATCATTTTCTGATATTTCTAATTTCGAGGCAAAATTTTATCTATAATATTCTTGTGATTATTATTAACATTTTCTTTTTTCTTTTTTTTTTTCAGCTGGCTTTCTTTTTTCTTTTTTT